CCTGCTCCAGGCTAAGGAGAAGGATTTGAGCCCCCGGCCGTCGATCCAGCCCCCGTCGGTAGCACGAGGCACTCGGGGGCTGCCAGGGACGAGCCGTGTGTGGGGGCAGCAGCTGAGCAGGGCGTGTCTGTGTGCCAGGATCCCAGCGGGAACCGCATCGCCCAGTGGCGAGATGTGACTCCGCAGCAGGGCATAGTGGATCTGTCCCTCCCACTGTCTGCAGAGCCGGCCGTGGGGACGTATGCCATCAACATTCAGAGGACGTGGCACTCGTTCAGCGTGGAGGAATACGGTGTGTAGTGGGGCCCAGGCCAGCTATAAGCTCTCCTGGGCCTCAGCCACCCCATGCCCACTCCTCCTGCAATAAGGCCCTGCAGGAGGGGGAATTCAGTCTCCCTGCCCTGCCCCAGCCCTGCCCCACTCTGCCCTAGGGCCCTGGGGGAGTCCTCAGGTCAGCGCTGCTGGGTGTGACCTCTGATGGGTCCCAAAGCGCACTCACCACCTGCCTGCAGCCCCTGTGCCTCCTCCCCACAGTCACCTTGCCCCCAAGCCCCCCAACTGCTCCCTGCCCCCCCCACTCCTCCCCAAATCCCCCGGACACCCTGCCCCCGAGCCGCCACTCAGGCAGGGGGCCGTGAGGTGCTGCAGGGGGTGGGGAGACACCCCAGAGCCACCAACTATCACAAGAGTCTCAACTAAATCCCCGAGCTGGGGCTGTGGGTCTGTTTCACCCCATCCCTCTCTGCCCCCCAGTGCTGCCCAAGTGTGACGTGACCCTCGAGCTGCCCCCCGTGGTGATGGTGCTGGATGAGACGATCCTGCTGCAAGTGTGCGGCCGGTGAGTATGAAACCAGCCCTGCCGCGGCAATAAAGGGGGGCCTGGCACCATCCTGGTCCTGCCTCCCCCTCTCCCACCTGCCCCCCCGGCTGTGCCTCAGGGCTCACACTCCCATCCAAACCACCAGACACCCCAGCAGGGGAGCCCCCCAGTAACATCGGCCCCCTCACCTCCCACTTACCCTCTTTCTCCCCTCTGCTAAACAGATACACCTACGGGAAGCCAGTCCTGGGGAGGGTCCAGGCCAGCCTTTGTCGGCAACATTACTCCATGTTTTATTCTGATACCGACCAAGGTGGGGATCTGTGCATAGAGCTGACAGGCCAGGTGAGTGTGACTGGGGAGGGGGGGCATGTGGCCTGCTGCTGGATGCCAGAGGGGGGTGCTGTGACTTGCTGTGAGGATGATGTACATTCCTCAGGTATCTTTCATCCTCCAAGCGTTTGAAAACACTTTTCAGACTGCAGTCGATTTGGTGGGTCTTTGCTAGTCCCGCTAAATCAACCGCCAGTGGATCGATCTCAGAGCGTCGATCCCTGCCGTAATGTAGACCTGCCCTGTGTCATGTACATGGCACATGGACTGGCTACAGAGCTTCCATTGCATAGAGATACAGCAGAGAGGTGGTTGCTATAAGATATTTTAATGCAGTGCCTCTCAATCTTTCCAGACAACTATCCCTTTCAGGAGTCTGATTTGTCTTGTGTACCCCCAAGTTACACCTCACTTAAAACCTACTTGCTTACATAAAAATGCAAAAGTGTCACAGTGCGCTATTATTGAAAAATTGCTGACTTTCTCCTTTTTACCATATAATTATAAAATAAATCCATTGGAATAGACATATCGTACTTACATTTCAGTGTATAGTATATAGAGCAGTACAAACAAGTCATTGTCTGGATGAAATTGTAGTTTGTACTGACTTCGTTACTGCTTTTTATGTAGCCTGTTGTAAAACTAGGCAAATATCTAGATGAGTTGATGTACCCTCTGGAAGACCTCTGCGTACCCCCAGGGGTACACGGAGCCCTGGCTGAGAACCACTGCTTTAATGCACTGCCAGGAATGCCTGTTGTGATCTTAAGTATGTGGGGATCTGTGCTAAAGGAGCACTCAACAAAGACAAGACTGTTGTGGAAAAGTTAAATGAATTCTTTGCATCAATCTTCATTGCAGAGCATGTGTGGGACATTCCCACACCTGAGCCATTCCTTTTAGGTGACAAATCTGAGGAACTTTCCCAGATTGAACTGTCCATAGAGATTGTGACATGCAAGGGCACAATCCAGACTAATGAGCTGCTGTGTCACCCCTGCCCTCCCACCTTGGGTGCCTTACGATGCCTTGCTGAAGTAGCTCCCACCTGGACCATTCACAAACAGCCTCCTGTTTGTCACAAACAAGCAACTCCCTAAGCATCTGTGTGTGACTGCAGCCTGCCTGCCACTCTTGGGTTACACTCTGGCTCTCGCCAGCCTGGGTTATACTGTAGGGTGACCCCAACAACCCCCAGCCCCAGATCTTCCTCCAGAAAGGTCTGTCCTGTCTGCCCAGCCTTCTCCTAGACAATAGAAGTTAGCGTATATTAAGGCCATTATTCCTTTAAGAGAATAACATGCACGCGTCTTGTCGCCCCAAATGGAGTTACCCAGACACTTCAATTTAAACACACTGGATTAGATAAAACAATATTGTTAACTACAAAGAGAGATTTTCATTGAGTACAAGTAATGAGGCATAAAAGTCAGAAATGCTTACAGTAAAAATTAAGGTAAGATGTTTACTATTACCTATCTTAACAAACTACATCACATTTAAGCAACGTTTCTCACCACATGCTTTCAGCAGTCTTACTGACTGAACTTTGTAGGTCAGAACCCCTTCTCCCAGGGTCATAGAATATTAGGGTTGAAAGAGACCTCAGGAGGTCCAATGAATGCTTCCTTTGTTATGTCAGGTGCAGTGAATACGATGGGCATGAGGAGGGGGGGGGTCCTTGGGGTGTTTGTCCCTCTTTTTATAGTTCAGTCCCTCTCTTGAAAAGCCTTTCCAGCTCGGCACCAGGAGACAAAGGCCACGTCTACACTACAGACCTTATAGCGGCAGAGTTGTACCACTGCAGCTGCACTGCTGTAAGGTCTCCTGTGTAGCTGCTCTGTGCTGGTGGGAGAGAGCTCTCCTGCCAGCATCACTAAACACTTCATCGCTGGGAGAGCATCTCCTGCCAACTGCTTTTGTCAGTAAAATGTTGTTGGTCAGGGTGTGTTATTTTTTTTCACACCCCTGACTAACAAAAGTTTTAACGACAAAAGTGCTAGTGTAGGCAAAGCCAAAGAGTCTGTGTGGTAAGATGTGCCCTGCTGGCTTTTCCTTACCTGTTTGAGCATTCTTTGTTTCCCTTCCTGCTTGATGACTCTGCTTCCTGCTTAAATGCCAATGAAGCAGAGCGCACATTCCTTTGTTTAGGACAGACCTGTTTGCCAATTTCAGTTTAGCCAGGGCTGTGGGTTTGGAACCTGCGTTAATAACATCCTACCGGGAAACCTTACAGCTTTACCTTACACAATGTTGCCACACATATTTTATCAGGACAGTACTGACCAGCAAATTATGACTATTCAAATGATACCTTACAAGACATGTCTTGTACGAAAATGATTACAATGGTGTGAAGGGTGTGAACACAGGGGTACATTCTGTCACAGAGGTTTTGGAACAAACTGATGAATTAAAACATAATAAACCACCCAAGTGATGGTACTGACTCAGGTGTTCTGAAGGAAGTCAAATATGAAATTACAAAACTACCATCTGTGGTATGTAACCTATCGCTTAAATCAGCCTCTGTGCTAATGACTGGAGGGTAGCTAATGTAATGCCTACTTTGTTAAAAAGTCTCCAGAGGCAATCCTGGCAATTACAGGCCAGTAATCCTAACTTCAGTACCAGGCAAATGATTTAAACTATAGTAAAGAACAAAATTACTGTACACATAGATGAATACAATATGTTGGAAGAGTCAACACAGCTTTTGAAAAGGGAAATCATGCCTCAGCAATCTATTCGAATTCTTTGAGGGACTCAACAAACATGTGGACAAGGGTGATCCAGTCAAAATAATATACTTGGACTTTCAGAAAGCCTTTGGCAAGGTTCCTCACCATCAGCTTTTAAGCAAAGTACACAGTCATGTGAAAACTGTTTTAGTTGGGGTTTGGTCCTGCTTTGAGCAGGGGGTTGGACTAGATGACCTCCTGAGGTCCCTTCCAACCCTGATATTCTATGATTCTATGAAAAGTGGGAAGGTTCTTTCATCTATCAGTAACTGCTTAAAAGATAGGAGACAAACGGTAGGAATAAATGGTCAGTTTTCAGAATGCAGGGAGGTAAATAGCAGGGTCCTTCAAGGATCTGTACTGAGACCAGTGATGTTCAAGATATTCATATATGATCTTGAAAACAGGGTGAACACTGAGGTGGCAAAATTTGCAGATGATACAACTACTCAAGATAGTTAAGTCCAAAGCAGACTGCGAAGAGTTACAAAGGGATTTCACAAAACTGGGTGACTAGGCAACAAAATGGCAGATGAAATTCAATGTTGATAAATGCAAAGTAATGCACATTGGAAAACATAATCCCAACTATACATACAATATGAGGGTGTCTAAATTAGCTGTTACCACTCAAGAAAGAGATCTTGGAGTCATTGTGGGTAGTTCTCTGAAAACATCCACTCAATGTGCAATGGCAGTCAAAAATGCTAACAGAATGCTTGGAACCATTAGGAAAGGGATAGATACAAAGGCAGAAAATATCCCTCCTATGTGATGGTCATGAGTGGCCAAGGCCTCCGTTTCACATTCATCCAAAGACAGCAGCTCCTGCAGCACAGCGCCCCCTAGCACCATGCTGGGATACCGGAGTCAGGGCTGACTCCAATGCGAGAGCGCCCCCTGCTGCTGACTTCAGCACCCAGGTTTTCTTTGAGTGTTTCCCGTCCCAGCACTATCCAGGCGGAGCCCGATTAGAGACCTGCTGAGCTGACATCTGCAGGGCAGAGCTGCTGCTAACGGGCTGTGATTCTCTCCCTCCAGACTGACCGAAATGGCTGCTTTTCCAGAGAGGTGGGGACGGCTCCCTTCAACCTTACCCACTCTGGCTACGAGATGAGTCTCCAGGCCAATGCCTCTCTAGTGGAGGAGGGGACAGGTGGGACCAAACACGTACTCCAGGACATGAGCACATCCACAGATACACACGCCCTCAGTCTGAGACACACACTGATGGGTGCAGCCCCATGCACACACGCACTCTTGAACACACATACAGACATGCACATGCGTGCTCACTCACACCACACGCATTTGTTACCCCTTTTCACCCACGCAGCGAGCCAAACATTTGGGGGGTTGTAGGTTGTTCCAGGGAGGAGGTGAAATTGCTGATGGATTAAGACTGACGGGAAAGTTTATCTAAATTTTTTAGTTTCCAAATTCCCCAGGAAAACATTCTCCAACCCCAGTTGAACCCCTCCCCCCAAATTCTCCCCTAAATTGCACCCTCCAGCCCAAAGCTACAGGGGGTAGAAAGGGTCGTGTGGCTTGTTTGTGGAGAGAAATCTGGGACTTAGCCTGAGCTCTGGTCTCGCTCCTGGCACCTTCCTCCTATCGTCCCTTCCTCTCCTGCTAGGGGTGGAGCTCAACGCAACCAAGAGCTGTGACATCGTGTCTGAAATCGCTACGGTGACCTTTGAGGACGATGACAATACCTACAAGGCTGGAATCCCCTACACTGGCAAGGTAACGGGATTATCGGTAACCCTCAGTGCTGACCCCAGCATCCCCTGCTGTTCCAGTCCTCCCCTCTCCCAGGAGTCTGCTCCCTTGAGTGGTGCGTCTGCCCCAGGGGTGAAAGTAACTTAAAGGACTTACCGGTACGCCGGAGTCCTGAGCGGGGGTGTGGCCTCAACTGGAAGAGGCGGGGCCTTTCAAGATTTAAAGGCCCTGGGGCTCCGGCTGTGGCTGGGAGCCCCAGGGCCTTTAAATCACCACGGAGCTACCAGCTGCAGAGGTGGCTGGGAGCCCCAGGGCTCAGGGGCGAATTAAAACAGCGGCCGGAGCCCCGGGCCCTTTAAATCCCCTCCCGAGCCCGACTGCCAGTGCTCCAGAGGCGCTTTACAGGGCCCAGGGCTCCCCGCAGCAGCTGGAGTCCTGGGCCCTTTAAATAACCACTATGGAAGCTGGTCTAGTCCATCACAGGGTAATGGCTCTTGCCGGTACGCTGTACCGGACTGCACCGGCTTCCTTTCACCTCTGGTCTGCCCCTTTCTCTCCTGGCTCAGATGCTCCTGAAGGCGGCAGATGGCTCTGTGCTGAAGAATGAGAAGCTGCAGCTCTTTGTTAGCTATGGGGATAAGAATAAGAACCAGACCTTCCTGACCGACGAGTCTGGCAGAGCCTCCTTCGAGCTGGACACCTCCAGCTGGACCGGGTGGGTCACTCTGAAGGTAAGCGACGGGCCTCCGAGCCCCAGTGGGGCCCCTGCATTCCAGCCTCTGTTATTGATTCTGTGATTGTTGATGTTTATTACAGTGGTGCCTAAGGAGCAGCCAGGATCGGGGCCCCATGGTGCTGGGTGCTGCACACACTCAGCGTAGCAAACGGCCCTGCCCGAAGCGCCTGCAGGCTGAATAGCCAGGACAGACGGTGGGGGGGAGGGGACAGGCGCAGACCCCACCAGCAGAGCCATCAATGGGGTGACGCAAACGACATCTTAGTGCCGCCACTTGTCTTCTCATTAATATTTGGGGTGGGGTTTAGTTAGGAAGGTCGCCCCCTTTGGGCAGCTCAGCTCAGGGGCTGACCCATTGCCGCTGTCGGGCTGCCCCATTCGAACCGCTGGGGTTTTCCATGTCACTCTTACGGACGCAGGGCGAGGGGCCATGGGGGTGAGCTCAGCCGGCAGCATCAGAGCCTGCCCTGCCCCGGCTGCATTCCTGTCCTGTGCTGGGTGCTCTGCACCCCGGCGAGCCCCATCACTCTCTCTGTCCCACAGGGGCACTTCAAGCAGGTGGATGGCAACTCTTTGAATGGGAGAGACTATCCCAGTTACCGGGATGCCGATCGTCACCTGGAGCCCTTGTACTCCAAGAGCCAGAGTTTCCTGAAGATCCGCTCGCTGGGAGGCGTGCTGTCCTGCGACCAGGCCCAGCAGCTCCAGGTCGATTACGTCATTGCTCGGGAGGCCCTAGGGAATGGGTCCAGGAACCTGGATTTCATCTTCCTGGTGAGCCCGTCCTGGAAGACTAAAGCATGTGTGTGTGTGTGTGAGCATGAGGTGCGCTATCAGCGCTGTATCCCCACAGGAGAGCAGTGGGGAATCGAACGGTTCCTTTGAATTACAAGGGCGGGGCTAGATCAGGATGGGGCTTTTCCCCTTTCCCCACTAGGGGCTCTGGTTCCAATCTGGCCCCAAAGCGGGGGCTGGCTGGCCTGGGGGGGCTGGGGAATGGGATACCTGCCTGAATGTGCTTACTTGCACCCGCACCTCTGCTGGCTCAGTCCATGAGGAGGAGAGGCCACACCCTGGCCTGACTCCAGCCTGCGTGGCCACCCCCACGTCGGGGCGTTTGTCAGCCCTTTGTACAGCATCAGCTTGTAACCCAGTGTGCCTGGGGCAGCCCTCACTGGAAATGCCAAGGTCAGGGCAGGCTGCAAAAAAAGAGCAGATTCTCCCAAAACTGGTGGTTCGCACTGAAGTTGGACTCACCAACCAGTCGCAAACTGCTCCTGATTCCCCACTCTGGTTATCAAGAAGCTAAAAAAGAAATCACACAACCCCCTTTACTGCATTCCAGTTCTCTGGCTTCCAATCAGCACCTAGGTCCAGGACAGTGAGAAGTCATTTAAAACCTCTGCTCACAATACAAAATGTTCTTCTGACCCCAAAGGGTCAGCCATGTCACCAGGCCAATATTAGTTTGGATCTTACCCAAAATAACACGCTGCCAGACCGTCCTTTAGTGTCTGAAACAAAAGGTTTGTTATAAGGAAAAAAGAAAGAACAAGAAGAGAGTTGTTAAATGGTAAAACAATCACATAGGAACAGAGACATCAAAGTCCATATTTCTGGTTCTGAGCAGTATTGATGAGTTTGCTGGCTTGAAGTCCCTTTGGAACAGATGCACAGCTTGAATGTGTCATTCAGTCCTTTGTTCAGTGCTTCATTTGTAGAATAGTTACTCCAGAGGTAAGAAGCAGGACTGGAGACAAAATGGAGAAGATGCAGCTGCCCTTTATATTCCTTTTGCCATGTGGCTGGTACTTCCTTTGTCCCAAACACAAGCTGCACAGCACATGGCATGGAAAAGCCTTAGAGTTCTCTGTCCGCCAGCCTGCCCCTACATGCCTTGCTGACTCCTAAGGTGTAGCCCCTAGTTCCTTTCAATGGGTTCACTGTCGGGCTATGACCCGTGATGGGCCATCGAACAGGCTCGGCAGTGCTGATGCCAATCTGTCTGGGGGTGTCACCCAGAACCACAGCCTGAGTTTTGAAATACAGATGTACCACACAGACCTAGAACACAATACAAAGGTGATACAAACATATAAACAAGATCCTCATACTTGGCAAATCGCACCATTTCCACAGACACCTTCCATGGCATATCTGTCAGATTCCCTGCAATTTTCTAATGTTGGTATCAACAATACCATAAAGAGTCTCCCAGATTCCACATAGCATCACACAGCTCAGTGATCCCCGTCTCCTCCTCCACAGGTTGTGGCCAAGGGAGCCATCGCCAGGATCCTCCACAAGGGGCTTGATCTCAGTGAGGGGGCTGGTAAGTGGCGGGGGAGGGGTCTGTGCAGATAGGGGGCGCCCAGGGGGAACTGGGGTTTGAGCCCCTTGAGCTGGGCCGGGCTGGGGGAGGGGGCTCTGCTGGCTGGGCCTGACTTCCCCTGGGTGTTTCCCACCGTCCCTAGGGCTGAAGGGCTCCTTCTCCGTGGAGCTGCCCATCGGCACTGACCTGGCTCCCGCTGCCATGGTGCTTGGTTACACGGTGCTGCCCGATGGTGAGATGGCTGCCGACCGCGCCCGGCTGCACATGGCCAAGTGCCTCCCGAACAAGGTGAGCATGGGGTGGAGGGGCCTTGGGGGTGGGGGAATCGCTCCCTGCCCCATAACAGGAGCCCTGAGCAGAGGCATCTCTGGGTGCCCTCGGCCCCTCCCTTCCGCGGCCTTACAGCAGCACCAGGGTCGTTGCGGTAGTGCCAGCTCTGGTGAATTGATCACTAGCCATTTTGCCCCCACCTGTAGGCGTTCCCGCGATGACAGGAAAAACTCCAGCCCCCGCACAATGTAGGCGCAGGTGCCTGCCCTCCCCCCCTCCCATTCCGCTCTCCCTGGCCCCAGCAAGTACCTGCTCCCCCAAACCCTTCCTCCCTCCCCCAGCCGATCCTGCTTCCCCCGTGGACTCAGCCTCTCACTCCGGGCCCAGCAGGTACCTGCTGCCTGCCTGCCCCACCCCTCGCCTCCCTGTACCCAGCTCCCCAGAGCTCCTGCTTCTGTCCCTCCCATCCCACTGGCCAGGACCCGGCCCCTCCCCGGCCCACTCTGGGATCCCTGGCAGGTACCTGCTGCCCTGAGCCCTCCCCACTCCCCAGTCTCTGCAGCCACTTGCTCCTCCAACCCCCCAGAACTTCTGCCACCTCAACCCTACCCACTGCCAATCCTCCAACCCGTGCCAGCCCCTGCTCACCCTGGGAGATTCCTGGGGCGGGAGGCAGGGGGTGGCCAGCTGGCCATATTTCTTTACAGGGCTTCTAAGGGGGCCGCTGCCCCTCCAGTCGACTGGGGCACCAGTGTCATGAGGGGAGGGGCCCCTCTCCTCCTCTGGGCCGGAAGCCGGCTCCCACTGTTAGCCAGATGAGCAGTAGAAACTCCCTCCATGAAGGCTGGGGCTCCCCTCTCTGGGCAGCCAGCAGGGGGACGTCCCTGTCATTGAGAAAAGCTTTTGCCAGGGACCAGCCATCAGCCCCCTCCCCACTGCACATAGGGGTCAGTTGGGGGGAAGGCCCCTCTCCTCTGGGACTAGGGAGGTAAAGATACAGAATTCCTCCTCCACCTCTCCCCTCCATCTTGTAGGGGCCTGGCTGAGTCCTTCTGCCCCCTCCCACTTCACCCCACTGCCCTGGGGGTAAGTGTGACCCTTCTGTCCCCCCTACCCCCCCAGCCCGGGGAGGCAGTGCACTGTTACCCGGAGGCATTTCAATGCCCCCCTCGGAAATGGCGGCTGCCCCCCACACCAGCAACTGGCATCTGCTTGGTATTGGGAGGGGCAGGGGGAGCGGAGAAGTCAGAAGACAGACTGCAGCCCAGGGCTTTGTCCTTGTCAAGAATCTCAGAACTTTTGGGGGGTCTGACTCATGAGTTTTATCTGGTGGGGCTGGTGATCCTGTCGAATCCCTACCCACCTGCCCCTCCTACACACACACACCCCTCGGGGGGCCAAGAATAACTGCAGCTCCCTGAGCCGTTCCACGGGGGCGCTCAATGAGTCTGGGCTGCCTCAACCCCCCACCCCCAGCACCGACTCCCAAAGCCCCAGCCCTTCAGCCAGCGGGGCCTGGGGCCAGAGTGACACTCGGTGCCTGCCCCCGCCCCTGCCCAGGCCTGTCTCCTCCTGCCCCTGGGGGGTCTCTCTCCCACTCCCCTGTGATGCCCTGTGCCTCGCCAGGTGAAGCTGGCCTTCTCGCAGGACCGGGCCCTGCCGGGCTCAGAGCTCCAGCTGCGGGTGCAGGCTGCCCCCGGGTCCCTGTGCGCCGTCCGCGCCGTGGATCAGAGCGTGCTGCTCATGAAGCCCGAGGCCGACCTCAGCATCGATAGGGTGAGTCCAGAGCAGCTCGGCTGCTCGCCCGACCCCTCCTGACAAGTCCTCCCCCCTCGCAGGGAGGGGCGATGCACGGCAGCTGGGGGACACCCCTCGAGGCCACCTCCCCCTGGTCTGAGGGCTGCTCCCATGGCACTTGACACCCCCTAACTCTGGGGGATCCCCGCTTGCCTTGCCTGTTCTCCCATCAGCCCTTGTAGTGCCCCCCTCCCGGCACCCCCTCACCCCGGCTCCAGCTGGGAACATGGAGCTCAGAGCTGAGATAATGGCTGGGGTAGCCGGAGCTCGCTCTCCAGAGCTGAGCTGGTCCCTGGGGCAGGGGCAGGAGAATTTCCTGCCTCCCATGTACAGCAGGGGACAACTGGCCAGGTGCATTGTGGGAATTGTCCCTGCCTGGGTGGTGATACAGAATCGCACTCGGCCCGTCGCTGGCGCCTGCTGTCCAGGGGCTCATGGGCTCTGCACACGGTGAGTGAAGCCTCCCAAGCTCCATGGGGCAGCAGGAGACAGGACTTGATGGGCCAGTTATTACCCTGAAAACAGAATTAAGGTACCCCCAAAATAGCCCACCTATTGCCCCCTCCTGGATTTACCAAGGGTTCCCTCACAACAGCCCACCTGTTATAATCACACCAATCTGTTCTTGTCATGTATGGGTTCCCAGGGTGACGGAGGAAATACCTGGAGGACACTGATACAACCTTCCAATAAATGAATGACACAAGCAGTGTTCTTTTCCAAAACAAGGCACCTTTTATTGGTGCAAACAACAATCCCTGACACAGTAATAATCAAAACAAGTTAAAGAGTGCTCCAAGCCATACTGCCTTACAGTTTGAAGTGATGCTAGGTGATGCGCCCACTTCAGATGGCCCGTCTTCCACAGGTGGCTGAGAGCAGTTCTTGTGTGTAATACCTAAAGAACATCTATAAATTGCTCTCACAATCAACACAACACACACATTCATCTTTATTAACTCACATACACACACGAACACTCCAATTGTGCTTTACATTCCTGCGTGCTCGAGCAATATTCTTATACTCCTCCCTAGTCATCTGTCCATGTTTCCACTTCTTGTAAGCTTCCTTTTTGTATTTAAGCTCACTGAAGATTTCTCTGTTAAGCTAAGCTGGTCGCCTGCCATATTTACTATTCTTTCTGGACATCATGATGGTTCATTCCTGCGCCCTCAGTAAGGCTTCTTTTAAATACAGCCAGCTCTCCTGGACTCCTTTCCCCCTCCTGTTATTCTCCCAGGGGATCCTGCCCATCAGTTCCCTGAGGGAGTCAAACACATCTTAGTTATGCCATAATCACATCATTACAATATCTCTATGAAGAATATGGGTCATAATGTCACAAGGCACTTAGGGTTACAGATGCCCACATGAGGGATGGGGCTGGGTGCTGGGCAGGGTGGGGGGAGGTGTCCAGGCTAGAGATGAGGCTGGGGTGAGAGTGGAGGTTTGTGGGGTGATGTGCTAGTGGGAGGAGGAGCAGGAGTTGGCCCTGGGATAGCTCATGTCTTGGTTTCATGGCTGACGCTGTCTGTGTTTGTCTTTAGGTCTATAACTTGCTCCGCAATTTTCCCCACGGAGGCTATCCCACTGCAGATCAAGTGACTCTGCAATATGATTGTCCACACATAAGTAAGGGAGTGCCTGGACACACAGGACCTCAAGGAGTGCCTGGACACACAGGAGAACGAGGAGTGGCTGGACAAGCAGGACGTCCATTTCTTAACTTCCGTGAGGCTCGTTACCAGAGGCGGCGCAGAGGGACTAGCAGCTATATCCCCCCTCAGCCTGACGCCTACAACCTGTTTAAGGTAGGGTTGTGTCTGGCCAGGCCTCACACTCCTCTGTAGCCTGAAAGGACTAAACTGGCTCCGATGTGCCCAGAGATGCTGGCATCCAGGGGTGAATCCCACTAAACGGTTCGGCCTGTTCCAATGAATCCCCAGGGATGCTCCTAGCAAACTCAGGCCTGGGATACACCTCCCCAGCCACCTTCAGACACGGCCCAGGCCCTGGGACAAATCCCTGGCGTATCCAGGGAGCAGGAATGCCCCATCCCACCCCACTCCTGGGCACAGGGATATTACATGTGGGGCTGGCAGCGCTACCTCCACTTACAGTTCTCTGGCACTACCTGTTATAAATTTTCAGTTCATGTAACTTTGTCAGACTGAAATGTTTGGGGCTGAAATTTCCCTCAGCCAGGGGTCGGCCTCATGCTGAACTTTCTGAGGAGTTTCAGCTAACACAGCTCAGCAGGGGAGGTGGGGAAATACTCGGTTTTCCCATGATAAAATTAAGCTGTTTAATTGAGAAGCTCCCTGCCTCAGAGCAGAGACTTGACCTAGGCCGGGAGGTCGCCCTGGGGTCAGGGAGGTGCCCTTTGCCTTCCCCATGACATGCAGCCCCCATTTGGCTGAATGGGAAGCCCCTGGGAATGGCAGGTCCCACATGCCCAGCAGAGGCTTGGAGTTTGGCAGCATTATTCTGTGAGGAATCCCTCTGCACCACGCCTGCTCCATCCCTTCGACCGGCCTGCGTGCACCTTCGCCACAGAGCGACTGAGCCTGCTCCCCGGGGCCACAGGGACAGAGCAGGATTTTCCTGAAATGGCTCCTCCCGGCCAGCAGGACCTGCGGTGGCACTGGGTGTGGGAACGGAGCTCCCGGAGATGGTGCCTCTGGTGCTCCCAGTGCTCTCCTGCCCGTTCCAGGCAGCCTGGAGGAGGAGGAAGCCACCTGAGTGAAATGTGCAGAGGGGGCAATGAGGGGGTGTTGGAAACAGGGGTGTTGGCGGGGGTCCAGCTCCTTCCTCCCTCTCAGTTCCCAGACACAGTTTGCTGGAAAATAACAATCCAGAGTCCAGTCTGCAGGGAATTCAATGGGTTTATTGGTGCAAGCATGTTCCGAAGGCCTTCACACCAGTCGGGCTATCTCTATGCGCCGACAGAGTTTTCCTCTTCCCGTCCCCAACTACTGTTCTTCTTCGAGAGATGTCCCTGTGGGTGCTCCACTCTAGGTGTTGGTGCGTCCCTGCGCCTTCACTCGGAGACTTTTCATAGCAGTACTCGTACTGGCCACACATGCGCAGAGGCTGCCCCCCGCAGTGAGTCTAGGATAATAGTGCGCATGCGTGGCCAATCTCCTCAGTTCCTTCTCTACCGTCCCCAGCCTGAGACGG